TTTTTTTTTTTTTTTTTTTTTTTTTTTTTTTTTTTTTTTTTTTTCCAATCTCAGATTAATACCCTAATTTCCAAATTATCACCCTCCTTTTATCACTAAAAGCTCTCCAGTGAAGGACTGCTGGCAGAACCAGTTATTGCCAACTTTTTGAGCACATTCAAGTAATGATTTTTCTTCTGTTTTGTTTTAGTTGGCTTTGGCCAGAACTCATCCTACACATTCAACATTTGCAAGAGTTCTCCCAGGAGAGGTAAGCAGCTCTGTTACTGTCTCCCAGGTCTCTGCCCTCAGCACAGAAGCCTGTGGAGCAGCACGCTTGCACTGGACAGACATAGGGAGGCCATTAAAGGCTACCCTGGCACAAGCTCTGACGGAGGACTCACTAATGCCCAAGACTGTCCTTGGCAAACTTGGCCCAAGGAAGCAGCAGAATTCCCTTCTTGGCCAGTGCAGCCCCTCTGGCCTCTTCACAGGCCACAGGTGAGGTTCCTAGTCCTCAAAAGAGAGGCCAATCTAGCAGGGTGAGGTGCCCATCTAGAAGAGAGAGGGCCAGCTTGGGAGAAGGCAAAGCAAAATCCACTGGTACTGGTGTCTCTCTGACACGGCCTGAAGGTAAAACCTGGTTTTCAGCTTCTGCTCTCCCTTTGCTCGGGAGCGACAGAGCTATTACTTGAAATCTAAGAGCCAGGTCATCACCCAGTGCAATAGACTGCCTCGTGTAAATGATGAGAGGGAAGATGAAGAACACCTTAGCATCCGTGAAGATTCCCTAACATGCTCCTCAGCCTGGGAGACAAGTTCTGATCCTCCTGTTCACTGCACACAGAGGGAAATTCTTGAATTCAGGTCACAATCCTGGCAAGAGAGAATCAAAGTGTGGAGTTTTTCATCTGCCAGAGACAAATATGTTTCACTTGAATTTGTTTTTAAAGCTTGGTTCTCAGAGGAACCTTGTTGATGTTGGGTTAAAAACTGCAGGGGCTAAATGCTTCACGAAAGTTGTCAATGCTTGACATGTTAAAGATCTATACATTAAAAATGACACTTCTAAATTTAATTGTAAAACGAGCAAAGAGAATGAAAAACAAGAGTAAACCCAAATACCCAGAGCAAACAAATGGAAAATTCCTTGTCTGGTTTATGAAGTAGCTGATACAGCAGAGGGTTAGAATGGACCAGTCTCCTAATAATTAAAATATCAGAGAATAGAGGCAGACAAGAATTGAGCAAATGCTATAAATACTTGAGTTGGAATAAGAATGGCTACTGTGCTACACATCTTCCCACTCTGTTTCTATCACCTTGCTATTATGCAGGTTTGCAGAACTGGTTGGAAAGATAAAGCGTTACATCTATTCATGCACAGAAACTCGTCCTCCAGCAGGAAATATTCCATCTCTGGGAGCACAAGCAAGATCTTGTGTGCTCAGGCAACTTAATCATGAACTGAGAATAAAAAAACAGTAACAGTGCCCTCTCCAGAAGTTGATACGAAATCCTTAAGCGGCTCTATGTCTGCATACAGCATTTGTCAGCCAGTTCCGACAATGAACACGGATTCTGATCATGCTCACGAATAATTCACAAGTGGCCAACTGGTGCGAACCAGCTCCTTCAGGCAGGAGTCTTGCCTAGCTTTTTGGCCTTCCTTGCTAAAAGCTGGCCCTCAACCACAGCTGAAGATATGTAGTCACAAACGTTGAGACCACCTGGGAGTAATTCTCAACTGTATTCAGTCCAAGGGTGGGATCAGGCTACATATTTACCTTTCCCATCAATGTTTTTGTTAGCTTCGCAAACTGTGCTGTTTTGTCTGTGGACAAAACTAACGCAGACTAGCAGCACAAGAAGTTCAGGGTGCTCTTCCAAAGGTTAATTTCAACTAGGGCAGTATTTTGGTTCCTACCTAGGAACCAAAGGAACCTAGCATCTGCAGAACAGAGGTAGAATGGTAGACTTGAACTTCACTTCCACTCTCCCAAATGGAGTGGGCTGAACAACAGAGTTAGGATCTACTTGTTTGGATCCACTGCAAAGAATCACTGATGAAATGTGGCGGTGCAGTTGTTTGATAGCACACATCAACATTAACACAAATCTCCTAAAATAGTCAAAAATGACATGCTGCATTCAAATTCTACCAGGAAACAAGACATAACAAGTTACTTCATGGCTTAAGCACTAGATCAATATTGTCACCCCCATCAGTGAAGTTCATCATGTACTGCTTCCTTGCTGCCTTGAAGCAACCAACAGCCCATCTGATGTCAAGTGTTCAGCCAGGAGCTGCAAGTTCAAACATGAAAGGTAACAGCACAAGGGAAGCTTTCTTACCAGTGTAGGGTCACACATCTCCCACGAATCCTTTAGAGAAACTTACTGTTCCTTCAGCAAGGTAATGCAGAGGACAAAGAGGGATGAACTGCACTAGAGAACACCTGACTCAAGAAGCAAATGAAATCCAGCTGAGTGCTGAGAGAAGCTTTCTCCAGAAAATAATTAGTAAATGATTCACAGCTAGCCACTGCAGGTGTGTCAGCATGAGCAGACGGCAATTCAGAAATTAGTGAACTGTTACCAGTGAACAAAGGGCCTCCAGATTAACTTTCCCTTTGAAAATGAGATCTGACAAATAAAGAGCAGTAAGCAGGCCAAGCTCCCTTAGTAACTCGTACGACTTGGACAAAATACAATGAATATTTATTCACCCCATGTTCTCCTATTTCAGTTGCACTGCCCACGGCCTGACCTCGCCTCTTTTTTAGAGGCAGCTGCTATCCAGAGAGAAGGAGCTCCACACCACAGAGGAACAGCATCTCAGCACTTCAGCAGCAGGTCACTGCTGACGGAGTTCTTTAAGGTATTAGTACAAATCTATAGCGTGGTATAGGCAAGACATAGCACATTTTGGAGGAGAAAACTTAGAAGCTAAGACAGATGGGGAAAGCACTCTTAGCTACACGACAACTGTGCAAAGAACGAGGTGGGTGGAAAGAACACAGTGTCTCTAGAAAGCTATAAATCAGGCAAAGATGCAAACCACAAACTGGGTCAATGTCAGCCTTTTTATGGCTGCACTTTTAAAGGCGCTGCTTCTTTCTCACAGGACTTGCTCTGCTCTTTGAGGTACTAGGTCAGCAGTGACAGTTTGGTTTTCCACTGCCTTGCACCTTCCATAGTCATCTCCCCAGTAATGAAAGGTGGCAACAGGAAAAATGCATGGAATGTGATTTGATAACATGTGGCACCCAGTTTGTATGGGTATCTATGGTGGTATGAGATCAGAGATGACTAGACTAAACCTAATTACTGTGGGCATTTGAGAGCTTTATTGGGCCCATTAAGATTCCAGCCCAATCTTCTGGCAAGGAAAGACAGTAATTATCATCCCTATTTTATAATCATGATCCAGAGGAAGGACGTATTTTGCTCTACATCATATGGGAGCTCTGCGCTACAATCCCAACTTGAACCTAGGTTTCCTGAACCACAGACAGACCCCTGATCTTGGACATTTTAAGAAGATAAGGACACTACGTTCAACACCAACTGTAATTACAGACACATTTGAAAAGATCTACCTTGAAAATGCGCCTTCATTAGGACAGAAATCAGAATTGGATCAACAGTCACTGTCATGTTCCCCACTTACTGTGGTTGTTCTTTGTGTTCGCAACTTCCATCACGAGTGTTCTAAAATCCAAGGAAAGTGGTGCAGGAACTACGTATCAAGGGAAGAGAGTAATATCCCTGAGACCTAGTCTAAAAAAAATCTAAAAATTATCTAAAAATATAAACTAGGGAGAGAATAATTAGACTCCTGGAAGAAGATCATAGCTCATAAGCTTTCAAAAATACTTCCTTCTTTTTCCAATTACGAAAATGCGTGGAAATACAGAAATATAAGAAAAGTATCCGACAATAGAACACAATTTGCAAGAGGCACGTTGGGGAATAAACAATCTTATGTCAGGGATTAGAGCAATATACCACATGGTTGTATTTCAGATTGATACATAAACTTTCAGAGAGAAAAGCGGACATAGAAATGAAAGGCTCTCTAGACAGAAGAACCAAACCCTATAAAGGCCTCTTAGGTAACACACTCCAATAAGACTGTGCAATTGAAGTTTTGTAAGGTTTTGTGTACTCAACTTGTTTCCCTTTTAAAATGGAAGATACATTGGATTGCAGTCTCTCTCTAAATAGCACTGATTTATTTCTGACAAGTGCAGAATTTACATACACCAACCTTTCCTCCTCCCTAATGCTCTTACTTTTTCTTTTTTATCCTGAAAGGACCCAAAATATTTCTCTGGACCCCAAATTGGTCCACTTATGTTTTTTGATGCACTAAGTCAAGAGAAGCTAACAACGGCACAAACCACCTTGACATGCAGTACTTCAGAAGAAACACTGAAGAAATACACCCCAAGTTCCTGAAACTACACTAGTTTCACAGGAAAGCACTACTTTCACAGGAAAACAACATCAAAATAACAACAACAACCGACACTAGCAACAATTCATTATACTTGTTCCTTGAGTTTTATGATTTTTGGCACATGTCATCATATCATTCAGCATTGCAAGGAATGGAATAAGAACTTAATTGGCAGAAAAGTATAAAGTATATAAAAAAGGTATAAGTATAAAAAAGTATAAAAAATATAAAGTATAAGTATAAAATTCCTCATCTTTCAGGATGATTTTATTTCTCTTTCTCGCACTACCCAGACGGGAAAGAAGGTAGGAAGGAATGAAGTATCCTCTGGGTGAGTGGGCAAATATCACTTGTCAGGCTAACTGCAGGTTATTCTTTTTCTAAGAGAAAGGTCAACCAAAACCAAGTTTTAATATCACAATTACATTGGCTTTTTATTACTTGTTAATATTATGGGGAACTTGCACACCTATATACCTTTACATATTGCAGCATACCATAGAACAGAATCACTGAACAGCTGAAGCTGAAAGCAACTTCTGGAGATCACCTAGTCCAACTTCTCCTACCTATAGGGCCGCATAAATTCCTGCCATCACCAGCCAGTCCCTGCCTCATTACAGTGCCTGGGTAGGTCCCTGGAGCACAACAGAAGGATAAGATAAACTTCATTGCCTTTTCCATGCAGTCTTTAGGACACCGAGCACTAAACCATGATCCAGTAAACCATTTATTCCTTGCCCCATTTTAAGAAAGAATTTATGTTCCACCAAGGTTTTTCTCAAGTCTGGAGCTCAGGATTTTATATTGTTTTGTTCGACTCTTCTTCTCTCCACATATATTCTAGACCATAAACATGAGAAATAATGCTGGCTGTTTTTCACAAGGACAGGTTTATAGAGAAAGAAAATATCTTTTGTCAGACTGCATTACACAAGGAGAAAAAACACAGGTGAGCTACTGGATTCCACAGCTTTTCTGCATGTCACTGGCATGTTGTCTAGAAATAGTAAAGAGTAATTTCATGCCCCTGAAAGGGTTTCTGCTTTTTCTATCTATTAATGATCTGGGAAAAAAAGTGTGTCCTGTCCCTACAGTCCTCGTTTAGATAAATCCCAAGACCGCTACAGTCATAACACTATGGTTTCTTTATGGCATACTTGGTATCAAGCCGCTGTAAAGCAGTGGGAAGCTCTGAATCATATCTGCATTTTACAATCTGCAACCAAGAGTCAAGTCTCACTTACCGCCTCCACTTCTGCTGGGTCGTACCAGACATTAATGTATGGATGCTGTAAGGCTTCATCTACCGATATCCGCTTGGCCGGATCAATGACTAGCATCTTCGATAGAAGGTCCCTGGCTTGGCTGGCTAGAGCAAGGAAATCAGAAAACCACACTATTAGTGCAGAAAATCACTACCTCCCAAGGAAGGTTTCTTGGGTTAAGAAAATAACAATAAACACAATCCTTTAAGAGACCTCCAAACTAGTCTGTGGGCTGTGGAAGTCTCTCATATCTAGCTTAGTCCTAGGTAAAACGTACCTAGGTTTTACTTCCACCTTTTGAAGCGTGGGATATTTTCATTGTTTTTAACCCAACTCCCTGTGAAACATTCCCTAAGGCAATTCATTAGAGGTAGAAGTGTCTGGAATCAACACATGGTACAATGTCCTCCTCCCTACTGCCAACTACATCACTTTGACAGGAGGAAAAAGCACACGGGCCGTCTAAGCAAGGGACATGGAATTCCCCTTTGGGATCAAGCATGCTCAGGTCTCAGCTCATGGCTGCTCGCTTCTCAGCAGCCCTAACAAAACTGCATTTTGGATCTCTGCTCCACTCCAAGATCTACTCAGGATCCACACTTCTAGGCTCCCCTAGAAAAGCAACTGAAGTTCTAGGGATAAAATTTTGGAGGCTTGTCAAATCCTCAACAATGTTATGGTCACTACTGGCCAAGCTAGCTACCAAGTATTCTCTCAGTGGGACAAAGATTTTAAAGATCTTTGAAAGCAGACCCCGTATGGCAGAGAACGGGGCTACTGTGAGGGCATTCCTTGCAACACGGCATCCAGAAGACACTTTATTTCTTGGTAAGCTCCTTGGCACCTTCGCCCTTGCAGGCTGCAATGCAGCATACACAGAGTCATGTACCAGAAACAACCAAGCCATAATGCTGGTGTCCAACTCAGCACCACGTAAAACATACCACAGAGCAGCCCAAGTCCTGCTTCTCTCACACTATGAAGTGGAAATTAATGGGAGGCACTATCCAGCCCTACAAAAATGCACTGGGCTATATATATACTTCGCATTCTGTGATGTGACATTGAGTTATTTTACCTGATAATATAACCTATTGTGGCGTTCAAACTGATCCTTTCATTACCCATATTCCTTTTTTACTGTCAAGAGGGTCTAACAATGTATCAAGAGGGTCTAACAATGTATCCAAGCTCTTCCTTGTCTAATTCACCTAGCCTCATGCAGTAGTGAAAAAATCTAAAGTTAAAAGATAAATATTATTAAATATTATTATATATTTCAGACACAGGTAAGCAAAAGAAATATTAAAGCAAGTTGTTAATGTTATGTATTGAAATATTTAAGTGAGAGGCATGGGAAGATTTACAGTGCAAAAGCAGTTTTTTAAAGCATTTTTTCCTTGTTCTGTGACTCTGTCTTAAGAACTGGTATTCCATGTGCTCGAAAGCGTGTACATTCTGCACCGAAGAGCAGAACACAGTTTGAGCATCATTGCTGCTCATTAGTTCCCGATCCAGTATAATTCCACTAGCCAGTTCCGTATCCAAAAGCATTTGCTCAGACCTTTTACTTGGCTCTCAGAGCTCAGCCTCGCTATAAAACACACTCAGTAACCGAGAGCGTATTCTGGGTGACATGACATGCAAATTGCAGCAACTCAGAAACACTCTGTGTCACCCTAATAGGCAATGCAAAATACTTATGTGGTATCAAACTGACACACAAGTTTGTCGAGGTTCCACAGCTGTGATCAGAAATCCTTTCTATACTTAACACACACATTAATCACTGCTTCCAAATAAAAGTCAATGTCCTGGTCAAGTTAATCACAGCTTCAACGTATAGTAAAAATCCTCGCATACGTCTCACAGCATATAATGGAGAACGGTATATCTAGTCCCACAGCAATTAAGATAGCGCTGGACTTTATGCATCAGAATTGAGCTACAAGATTTTTCAAAACAACAGGTCCACCTGGGACAGCTACTAAATCCTGCCAATATCAAGAGCGTTTTGGCTGAGGGTGTTGATAAGGAGACTACTCGTGACCATTTTCACAAGGACAACCACTCATTACAAGTATTACTCACCTTTTCCTCTCGTATCTTCCTGGTTCAAGTGAGAACCTGCAAGAAGCTGCAATCCTTGTGTTTTCCCAAGCCCCGGACTCCCCTTTCAAAGTGACTTTTTTTGCTTTATTGATTGAGCACTGAATAAACGCTTAAACTAATACTGTTAAATGAGTATGCAAAGAGAGAGAAGAAAAATTGAGAACCCTTCGCTGCACTGCAGCAGTCACATGTGAACCACATACCTTTGAGTTTGTTGCAGTCACATGTGAACCACATACCTTTGAGTTTGTTGTGCTCTGAGTCCGCTGGGAAGAGCGAGTCTGGGAAGAGTTTGGGGAAGGTGAGGCCAGCATACTTGGGTCGGTTCTCAACGTAGTTCCGTACTGTTGGCTGTAGTTTCTTCATAAATTCTGGACAGGGTGTTCCCAGCTGCTCAATAACCTTATTCCACTGATCAATATCTGAATATATGTAGTTAAGGAAAAAAAAGCCTGCAAACCCAGCGCAGTCTCCTGACATTTCCTTTTTACTGTTTTCTAGGAATCCTCAGAGGTGTTAAAGCCAATTTCTCCAACATCTTTGTTCATCGTTATGCCTCCGAGCCCTACAAGTTGTCAAGGGCAAAACCTCTCTCATGTCTAAACTTACTTGTGGGCATTGTATAAACCCAGCAGCAGCAACCACCAACATGGAAGAACAGAGACTTTCCTGTTTGGGTCAGTGATAATCATTACTGTTTCTATTCTAGCTCATGGTCCAATGGCTCGGGCTGCCTTCCTTTACATCCCTGTAATTCCCTCTCCTGACATAAAATTAACTGCATAGGCACAGCAGGGCAGAACGGAGTGGTCGCACACGCTGTCTGTCCAGTCTGCTTGAAGTGAGAGCCAGTAGGTTAAAAAGAGGAGAAAAGAGCTCTGCATGGACAAATGTCACTGTTGTTAACTCACCTGCTTCATGCTACCATCTTCCAGCTCTCCAGTTACGAATTGGTGCTAATTCTCCTAAAATAACGAAAATCAGCACTCCTTGCCACCAGCTATTTGGGAGAATCTTGGTAAGCAGGTCCTGCATTTGCTTATGCATCCATCATTTGCTAGAAGCAAAATGACGCCTCAGGAATAGTCAGAAGTTGCTCTTCATCTGTAACTATCACAGCTCTATTGCAAAACTGCGACCGACAAACAGTGAAACAGGCTTCCATGCTTAAAAAGAAATTGCATTACAGGCAATTTGTACTGAGCTGCTCTTTTTCTAGCTTTCCTTGACTATCAATTAGGCATCTGACGGATGATATGTAGCTCTTCCAGCCATTTTTGGAACAAGCCTCCCTGTACCATTAGAAAGGAAAGGTAACATTAAGCAAATGCCTGTATCATCAGTTATCATCTCTACCTTGCACTCCCTAATGCACAGTGCTACCGAAGACAACCTTCAAAAACAAAGAGCTCACACAGCCGTGGGTACATGCACACCAAGAAATGCAGTGATCAGTGTTTCCCAAGAATGTAATAGAGCACTTCAGCAGAAAAAGCTTTTTTAAATATTCCTGCTAATTCCTGCTGTCCTGAGTGGCTTATCTGTGCAGGAGTTTCCCAAATGCCAAAGTCAGGACAGCAGAAAAAAAAAAGAAAAGGAATCAATGAATTAAGCTGGGCAAAAATCTTGTTTTTGCTGTGGCACTAATTTCCAAACTTTAAAGAAGTCCTAATTACGAAGAATGGAAATCTAATAATTTCATGTAACTTGAAAGTTCTCAGATTTAAACAAAAGCATTCCTTGAGGAATTACAGCTTTGCCAATCAAAATACTTCAAGGAATGACGACTGACTTATTTAAACATATGGTTTAAATAAGACTGAAATGATGTTTTGAATTATTCTAATTTCCAAGGAAAAATTGGTAAAAACGACGATGGCCTGCCAAGAATTGTGAATAATCTGGATTTTCTAAACTTAATGGAAGGTTTGTGTAAAACAACAACCCTCTACTCTGTAAGCTACATGTATCCTATAATGCCATGGGAGAGAAAACCAAGTCACTAGGCCATCGCTGGAAGCAATTTCTCAAGTGCCTACGGAAGGTTTCAGAGAGAGGTGCCTTTAAGAATCAGAAAAAGACAGTGGGCTTTTTGACTTCTTGAGAGGGAAAACGTAGTAGGATATTATGGATGTGTGTGGAAAGAGAACAGAGTAAAACACAACGAAACAGTCTGGCCAAAGCAAGGCCTATGTGGTGGGAAGTGGTGTTGACAGCGAGTGGGAGACTCCTCTGACAAAGGGCCCATATCTCCTGCACTGATTTATCCGAAATAAGAGCCAAGCAGGCTACCTCACGTGACTGGAAGATTTTAAGAGCTGCAAAAAGCATCCCCAGTCATCAGTGCAGAGCAGAAGCCAAGAAAGCTGGCAGTGCCACCATCTGCACGCCTTGAGTGACTTGCGTTTTCTTTTTAGCCTTGTGTCCACTTACTTGGACTTTACTAGTTTACCATGAGGTCCCAACGATGCCAACGGGCAATACTGCCCCTGCTGAACACCGCTCGGGCTCCGTTTCATCACTGCCTTTCACCCAGTTACTGGCTGGAATGCATCTGTGGAGGCTGATGGTGAGAGATCCCATTGTGTCACAGCAAAAGATCTAGAAACCCAGATCTCAAAACATCTCGTGACTACTTACTGGCAAGAGAAAAAGCTTTCTCCAGCTGGTGGTCAAAGTTAACTTCAGCAATTCTGCAGAATACAAACTTGAAGATAAAACAGATCTAATGTTCGCTAAGCAATTCAAAGACTAAGGCAGATCACATCAAGCAACGGATGATTATGACTATATATTATAAAAATGTAACTGAAAACATGGTACCAGCAGGCTACGCTGCTGCAACTCTGACATAATCAGATATTTCCCAGTCAAGATAACTTGCATTTGAGTGAAAATACTTCAAGAAAAGCTTCCACTAATAGAATACCTCCCCCTCGTCCCTAAATTAAACAAATATTCAGTTAGTGTATTTTTGAGAAAGACTACAGGTTGGAAAGGCTTCCAAAAGGCAAACCAAACTCTGTAAGATGTTGAAATGTCTATTTATTTGCATCACCTCAGCCAAACCTCTCTTTGTCCCTGGCCCAAAAGAGGGAAGCATGTCAACGATGTGAAAGTCTTTAAAAAGAGAAGAATACCTATTCCAGTTCTATTACTTTGTCAGTGGCACTAATATTGTAGGATTTTTCTTAAAATTAGCATGGCGATACAAAGTTAAAGCCAAGAAGCTTCTTTACGAAAATGCAGTTGTAAAATGTATATATTTTGAGTGAAGATGGCTCTCTTGAGTGAGGTGTCAAGTTGCCTGAGGTTTACAGGCTACTTTTTCTCTTTGCACTGGGACAGCCTTTTAAGATTTTCTTTTCCCTTTCTTTTTAAATCCTTGCTTATTTACTTGGAAAATAATCACAACCACAGGATTTTTGCATGTATTTTACAGTTTTACATGTATTTTTCTAAAACAAATTCACAAAAAACCTTCTAGCAGCAAATATAGTGTGGCAAATGCCCAAGAAAATATTTATATTGAATATAGTTAACAGTCCACCTATCTAAAGCCATGTTTAATAAGAGGGAGTGCATTCTGAACATGAATTTTGCTCCCATTCTCACCAATGCTGCTTGTGATTACTATTTCGCAAATGTGCTCTCAGGAATACATTTTTTCCCTTTGCTCGGACTGAAGCTTTCATATGAATCCCTGAAAATACTCAAGCAACCAGGGAAATGGACTTGACCGTAAGGAAAAACTTGCAGTAGCTCTCTTTTTAAATTATGAGTTAATTGAAAATACTTCTGCAGCTGCACAAAGACTGTTTTTGGTAAGAGAAACAGATCAGAGCAAAAAATGACAATCAGACCAAAGGGTCTTCACGCTTAAGCAAGCTAGCCACAGCATGGGAATAGTTTTCTTTTTCCCCCTCTCCTCTTTTGCCTATTGAAATAACAACTATTTTGGGTTAAGAACTTCATTTTACTGTGTTTAATTGCCACGCTTTGCCTCAGGAGATTCTATTCACTTCGGGGAAGTGTTGGCGGAAGCCCCTGTTTTTTTCAGGCTCCCATAGTTTACAAACTGCTGACAACAGGAAACAAGGAGAAGCAAGTACGTTTGCCCAGACCGCATGCCTAGAAGATCCCTATGCCCTGGAAACCCTTTGAGAATATAAATGGAAATAACACTATGGCATTAGTGAAAAATGAGGCTGTAGTAAGAAGCACTTCATAACTTTAACAACAGTAGTTGCCATTTACACACTATAATAGAGCAAGCGATAATAAAATTAAGTAGTACCATGTACATACTCCCATAAAAGGGCTTAAAAAAAAAGCACGTTGGGCTGAGTAGCTTTAATTAACCATTCTGATGCAGAAATATGATTAGACTTTTCCTAGCATTTTCAGCTCCGTTCCCCTCCCCAGCACTTCACTCAGTGCCCAGACATCTCTCCTTACATAGCTGTAAGTTAATCACTTAGTGAACAGTCTGGACACCACAATACAAGGGTCCAACCTTGTCCTTAGGGCCGTAGCATTTGGAAACGTCACGGACTCACCATCACAGTGTCTACTAGCACTCTTCTAGGCCACAGATAGGCTTCCACAACACACACGATACACTGCCCTTGCAAAAGGTACAGGTGAATACACGATGACCATGCACCCGGCTTAGCAAAAGGCACACAAAAATCAGCATTATTTAAATATTTTCCAAAACAACTCAAACACCGCGTAAGAAAAACCCCAAGCCAACTCTCTGCAACACACATGAAGTATGATTGCTGTTGGACAATATGGCTTTATAAGGGATAGGCCGCATGGGCATCGCTGACTTCTACTGACAGAACCTGATACCACATGGTCTCATTTCCCCTTACTGAATACATCTATTTCCTAGTAAGAATTTCCACCGACAGTCCTTACAAAGGCACCTTTTCCTTGTTTGCTGAACACGCTTTCAGCGGTTTAACACAATATCCATGTCTAACTCTTGCCTTCACAGCACCAAAGCACTATGAAGGAATAGGGCATCTTCCCAAATCCTTGCTCAGGTTATTTAGGCAGTGGTGAGAGGAAAATCCTTGCCTTCCTCATGTAATCTTCAGGAAAACACAGGAGTCAACTCAAGGCTAGAATTAGCTTTCCAAATTGCTCCCGAGGCAACACAACAAGCTTGGCCTTATTCTCTTTGCCTGGGGCAAAAACACGATCCAAACTGCGTTACACTAATTTCTTTGCCAAGAGCACTGTTGCTGGCAGTATTCTTTCGAAAAAAAAAAATCTAACAATAAGAAAATTGTTTTAGCTCATATTTAATTGCATCATATCCATATATGTCAAAAATGACAGGGAAATATTAAAATGCTGTGGCTTAGCAAAGACCCACTGAACGTTTGACACTGCAAGGTATTCACTCAGA